TATTTATTTCATGTTATCTAATATAGATATCAATTTTTAAAAAATGTTAAATTTTAATTGTTTTTCTTCAAACGTTTCTTTTTTGAAATATTGGTATATATTTTTAAACTTCTAGCTAAGTGATGAAATTTGTAAACGTTATTGGTAATATATTTTTTAATTATTTGAAAAATATAGCACAGAATGCTTCACAATATAGTTCTATATACTGATGCAACGCTCTTTTATCTTCGTTTAAATTCTATTTCTTTAAGCCCAGTTTCCTAATTTAACATCGCATCATGACTTAAGTTAAAATTAAACACTAATATCCTATAGACAAATTACTGTACACTAAATTAATAGTCCGATCGTATAGTGGTAAACAATTATATTTATTGATTAACGTACTGGAAACAACGTTAAAATTTACAAGGGTGGTACTTATCTGAGAGGAAAGGAGTGGACGAAGGGGTGACCCCGGGCAGCGAGTTCGCTTTCCAGACGGGAGGTTTTTCTGGCAGCCGTAAGAGGGAAAAAAGCCCCGAGAAATGGCGTGTACGTGCGTTTTAAAGTTGACCGCACCACTTCGAAAAGAATCCGCTACGGATTCATTACCGTCAATTCTACCACCCTGATTGGACTCAACAGTCCGCGCAAGAACACAACCTTGCCGGCCATAAGGTCCGATGAACCTAGACGCACCCACATTCCTGTGTAATCCCTATTTCCTGTAAACAGGGCAAATATAAAAACTGCAATTGTATCTCGGGGACCGGCGACCTCCCATCAATACCTATACTTCTCTTTATTGTGCCTAAAAAAAGTACAAAGGATTTCTTATAGAATTCTTACAAATGCAATTGATATCTAAAGGAAGTATGCGCTGTATGGGTTATTGAAAACCACACAAAATAGATTCCACTGAAAAGATGTTGATACGACAAAAATTATTCAAGATAATTATTGTTCTATATTGTTCTAGATCAGTGATGAGTAATATCTTAAAACTGAGTCAGAAAAAAAAAGAAAATGTTTAACAAGACAAAATAATTTACAATAAAACGTAATAAAAATTGAAAAACAATATATTTTAAATCTGTGACTCTTCCTTTCTTCTTCCTCAATTTTTCTGAGAAAATAATTTATGAATAAATAATTTCAACTAATACAAAAACAAATATTTATATTTTATATATATTTAACAGGTGCGTTTCATTTTTCACATTTTTTTCTACATCAAAAAAAGCAAACCTTTCCGCATATGGAAGAAATATAATATATCCTTCACAATGTATATTTATTAAAACATTGAAACTAAAAATTTATTCAATAATTTTTTAATAATTTGGTGGCAGGCTGGATAAAACATTTGGAAGGACCATAATTTTCCCAGCACAATTCTAGACAAGAATGTTTGGCAAAATTTAAAATTTATCCATTAAGCCCCAAAAATGTATTGCTACGTTTATGTATCTTTATGAGAATGTTAAAAGTAAAAACAAAATAAAGAAAATACTTTGAAAAGATAAAGGGAATGTAAAACTTTCAGAGTCGGAAAAATATATATATTCTACTGTGCAAGTAGAAAATTTCCGTTGTATAACTCCAAATAACAAAAGCTAAGAATTGTAGGGAATAATTTAACAATATTTTCATGAAAAAGATGCATGGCTTAAATAATTATAAAAGAATACATAAAGAACATAAAAGTTTACAACAAACAGCCAATTTTAGTTCTTTCATCAAGATAGAATTTGTCTGAAAAACGGATTTAATTTTTCACTAATACAAATTTTGTGAATTTAGTACTGATTTCAACACAACTCAGAAGGTTTGCGGAAGATTTTCCCCTCTTTAAGATCTTTTCCATGATTTTGCAAAAATCAAAGATCAAATAAATGCCCCTCTTTTTTTCATTTTCTTTGCAATTTTTTTCTTTTTCTTCTGCTATAATCTTTACATATCTTCATTGTTTGAAATACATGGATTTTACGCTTTTCTTTTTTATAAAAAAGAAAAGCTTTTTCAAAGCCAGTTGAAATGAAATGCTCTTTTGTAGAAAAAGTATTGGAAAGTAACTTTTCTTTTGTTATTGCTTCTCTTCTTTATTTTTTTGAAAATTTACGAAAAGAATTCTCGAAAAGAAAAAAATTTATATAAAATTACGTGGGATAACGTAGACAGCAAAAAAAGAATAAATTGAAGACTTCAAAGACCAAACCTAAAAGCTTCAAAATTTTCGATGGTTTATTTTTTCTTCTCCCACCTTATTTTGTCTTGCATTTGAATCTATTAAGCATTTTCTTTGCTGTTATTTTTGTTGCTTCACAATGATAAATGCTGGTTTTTTAAGATAATCCAAATAAAATACTTTTAAAAAATAAAGATATCTAATGGTTTTTCTTTATTCTATACTAGCTGGTATACCCGTTCTTCGCACGGGTGAATTGAAAATTTAAGCAATACAGACTGAAGGATAAAGAAGTTTTTAATGAGTTAATTTTACGTGAAATGTAAATTAAACAAAAAAAACAACTTTTTGCGTATCTCAGCTGAGCAAAAAGCATGTTTGCTAAATTTTAAGTCTGTAGATATAATAGCTGATAAAAAAGTTTTTTTACTTAGAACGCCCCGTAAGTCTCTTAAGGATCGATTTTTGAAAACACCTTCCTTCTGCTCAGCAAAATTACCACATTGTTACAAATTTTGTGTAATAAACACATTAAAATAATGTAAATAATTTGTATCTGGATGTATAATACGTTAATATTACTTTCTGATGCATTTATTTTATGTTAAATAGCTGTTACCCGCGACTTAGTCGACGTGGAATTTAACAAAAAAGTGTTTATTCAATTCGCAGAGTTTACGAAAACTTAATAATTATATATTCCACGTAAAGAAATACCTATGCTATAAGTATAATGTCATTCTTCTACTTTGTGAATCAATGTTTCTTTTTTGTTTTACTTTTTTTTCTTTGTTTTTTGTTGAGCAAAGTGTGAGAGGGACGCATGACCTTTGATGTTGTCGATGGGGTGATGACTGTAAAATCATTAGGATCAAAGGACATGGACGAGAAATGTCGCAAGTGGCAGCAACCTAATCAAGCAAAAAGGTTTAATGTAACTGCTAGAAATCGTTGAGACAGAAGGCTCGCGAAATAAAATAATCCATATTAAATAAAAATAATCACTATTTGAATCGCATATTGTTCATTGGTTTTAATTTTATTTCCGCGGAACCCTAATTTATTTTTTTAAATAAAAGTAGCCTAAGTTACTCCTTATAACATCTGCCAGTGAAAGTTCCATCAAAATTGGTGCAGCTGTTTCAGAGATTAGCCGGAACAAATAGAGACAGAGAAAGACAAAAATTTTAAAAAATGTATTTTTTCATATAAGTACCGTATATACTTTTAAATGCATTTAATAAAAAGCTGCTAACTTCAAATTACATACAAACACTTCATTTTTATTTATATGTATAGATATTGCGCAGGTTAAATGAAGTTATTTACAGTTCTGAATAAACTTACTTAATTTAAGGGTGTAAGTCCACTTTTTCGCCTAAAACGTAATTAAAAATATTTATTTTAGAACCAACTATCTACGTTCTTAACTAAATAAAACAACCAGTTGGCTCTGCGATCGCCACCTCCACCGCACACTCAAACTTGTACAATCACTCTTGCAAGACAAACATTTATTGTGACTGCTTTGTGCAGTGTTTGGCAATGAAATAAACAATAGAGGTATGAAATTGGCTTACCTCTATTTAAATGCGGAGCCAAGTGAGAAATCAACTGACGTAAAACCCAAAAACTTCTTGATTTAAGTTTAAATGCTGTTTAAGTTATAGAAAAATTGATGTTGCACAGTGTTTTTGAGAGAGAATAAAATCATTGGAATGATGCAACAGTTCAAAACAGGTCTTAGTAACAGTAGGGTGAAACGAATCTGCAAGCAGGGGGAGAGGGACTCGTGACCTTTGACACTGTCAACGGGAGAGGACTGGGTTAGGTGAAACGAAGCCGCAAGCAAGGGGTAAGTGAAGACTGTTAAAATCATTAGGATCGGACATGAACGAGAAATATCGCGAATCTCAGTAACCTTATCAAACAAAAAAGTTTGTTATAACTGCTAGAAACGTTGAGACAGAAGGCTCACAAAATAAAACAATCCCTAATGAATATAAATAATCCCTATTGAATAAAAATAATCCCTATTGAATAAAAATAATCCCTATTGAATAAAAATAATCCCTATTGAATAAAAATAATACCTATTGAAAAAAACAATTCCTATTAGAAACGGATATTGTTCCCCATTTCATTGGTTTTAATTTTATTTTCGCGGAACCCTAATTTTTTTTTCTATAATAAAAGTAACCTGAGTTATTTCTTATAACATTAGCTATCTGTCAGTGAAAGTTTCGTCAAAATTGGTCCAGCCATTTCAGAGATTAGCCGGAACAAACAGACAGGCAAAAAATTTTAAAATTGATTTTTTCATATAAGTACCGTATATACTTTTAAATGCATTTAGTAAAAAGCTGTTAATTTCAAATTACAAACAGACACTTCATTTTTATTTATATGTATAGATATATTCGGCCAATATCATTTTATATACGGTAAATAATGTCTTCTCTTATCGAAGTTCCTGAGAAACGCTCCAAGTACTAACACTACAGAACTCCCTTTTACTGAAATAATTTCAAACAAGTAATATGGAGAAAATATTTTAAGTCAACTCCTACTTAGGTCAACAAAGAAAAATTTCATTTTAGTTACTTTTTATTAAATAATTACAATTAATATAAATATGTATATACATATGACAGAATCACAACATTAAGTGGCAAAATGGAAAGCGATTTTCCTTGCAATTTTCCATTTTCCTTTCTATATATGAGAATGCACTATTTTTTGTTTGTTTCTATTTATTCATTAATTAAATTTAATTATTCTAATAAAATATTACAGTAAAAAGAAATCACATTCTCAGAAATTAGGCTATTCCAAGTGGCATTCAGACCCACGATCTTTGGATTAGAAGTCCAACGTGCTATCCATTGTACTACATGAACACAACGTGTGATTTTCCTTTCTATATATGGTGTTGGACTATTGTTTTTGTTTGTTATTATTTATTCAATAATTAAATGGAATTAATGAATTAATATTTTAAAAAACTGTATTAACATCAAGCGTCATCCACTACAAGTTTTAAAAAATGTATTTGAACTTTAGTGGATGTGAATGGAAAGTATTTTATTAACGATTGAAAATTTGAACAAGATGTATATATGAGGGTTGGGACAAAAGTCACGGCAACTATTTTTTTTCTTGAAGATACCAGTCCGGTTGGAAACTGTGACATATACATACGAAAGGACAAGGTGTTAACTACATTGTGGATAATGAATAGTACTGAAATATCGTAACAAACCAATTTATTACGGTAGCATACAGGGTAATATGGCCTTCATGATGCAACAGAATGACAATCCAGTGCACACATAAAGTTGACATGGCAAACCTGAGCCTAAAGACCTTCAATGTAGTTAGTCCCCTGCTACTGTCAGCACACACTGACAACGATGTGGGAGGCGCTGAATACCATCAGCCTCAGCATTTGCCGCACCATGTGTGAATCGTCCCGAACGTTGCTCATCATAGTTGACACACGTCCTTGCTGAAACTTTCCTAACTACGGCGCTACTGTACGGTATGGTAGGGCATTATTCCCAAGGGCTTCCTCTAATTCACTGTGACATTCCAGCGCATTTCTCCGTCAGAGGACGGCTATTTTGATGTAAGCGCGCTGTTCAACACGGGTTACTTCCATCTCGCACGACACTCACCAACTGACTGATTTCACAGCCCTCGCTGAGCTACTACCAGCTATCATACAGCCATATGTTGTTCTGCATACGCACTATGCCTGCAGAACTTCCACACGACACATATATGCTTGCAATCCGTTCACATATCTACAAGAAAAAAAATAGTTGCCATGACTTATGCCCCAGCCCTTGTATATAAATAAATAAATATAGGGATAGTGTGAACTAATAATACGAATTAAAAAATGCAATATGTGATGATAAGAACTTGTTAAAATTTCAAAATGATCAGCCACGTGGTAAGCTACTTACTGTGAAAATGAGAGTTGAAAATGCAAATTATAAAATTTGAAGTAACGTCACATTAGGAAAAATGAGTGTTATCGTTAAGTGGCTGCTGAGTTTTGAAATATAGGAAAGTGACGAGGACAATTACTTATTCAATATCTTTCTCTCAACTTTCATATCATCTGAGAAGACTCCATTCATTTAATGACCAGCAACCCTATTATTCTACAGGACGGATTTCTAGTGCAATTAGTGTTAGAACACGCAGCTATATTTAAAAATTGTAAGCATACAGACATAATCATTCGTATTATATCTAGGTTTTTTTGTTCTGTAGTCTGTGATTACGTTATTACAAAATATTATCTTCGAGAACACACACACACATTGCATCTTTATTCAACATAGAGTAAAAACTAGAGTTTTAAAATAATAAATTATTAAAGGTTATTAAATAAAAATTTCCTTTTATCTAATGTATGAAGTAAACAATTCAGGTTCTCTTTTATTTAGATACACGTCAGGTGACAATGCATGCTATATCCTCAGTTAAACATTATTATTTATTGGATACAATGTATACACTGCTGGCCAACGTTAATGCAACACCCTGAAGGAAGCAGGCAAATAACATGAAATTTACAACATGCATTAGGAGAAGTGAGATATGCAAATAATTAGAATTTCAGCGCAGACACACATCACGCGCACCTGTGGCGCCACCTCAAAGCTCTATTTAAGGCTTGGAGATTTCAACGATTTCGAGTTCGTCAATTGTGTGTGTGTGTGTGTTTTTTTTTTGCGGTTTTTTCAAAAAACGATCAGTTATGACTCGTGAAAAACAGCGATCAGCTTTTGATGAAGTATCCGAGTTCGACAGAGGAAGGATAGTGACCTACCGAGATTGTGGATTATCTTTCAGGGAAATCAGTAGTCATGTTGGACGAAACCAAACAACTGTAATTCAGATATGTGTCCATTGGATGCAGGAGGGTACGACGGACTGACGTGGTCGATCGCCTCCACCTCAGTGCACCACTTCACGTGAGGACAGGCAAATTGTATGCATGGCAGTGACGGATCGCTCAGTCACATCACGAACCATAGCACAACACATTGAGTCTGTAACGCATCATTCAGTGTCTGCGCGTACCATTCGATGCCGTTTACAGCAGAGTGGTCTGTCCGCAAGACGTCCATTGCTTAGTCTACCCATGACGCAGAACCACAGACGTCTCCGCCGCCAATGGTGCTATAAAAGAAGGATGTGAGCGGCAGAATGGAATGAAGTTTTCTTTACTGACGAGTCACGCATCTGTCTGCAACACCACGATGGTCGAATTCGAGTCTGGAGACACCGTGGAGAGAGGATGCTGAACAACTGCGTTATGCACCGGCACACTGATCCTGCACCGGTAATTATAGTATGGGGCGGTATTGGATATCACTCTTGCACTCCTCTAGTACGCATTGCCGGTACTTTAAACAGCCAGCGCTGCATCTCCGAGGTGTTGGAGTTAGTTGTCCTTCCTTACCTTCAGGGCTTGGCCACAGCCATATTTCAATAGGATAATGCGCGACCATACGTGGCACGCATTGTCCAAAGGTTCTTTGTGAATCACCAGATTGAATTGCTTCCCTGGCCGGCTTGCTCTCCGGATCTTTCGCCGATAGAAAAATGTGGTGCATGGTTGCTCAACGATTTATCCAGATTACACCCTCAGCTTCCACACCAGATCAACTTTGGCAACGAGTGGAAGCTACTTGGTCTACTGTACCCCAAGAACACATCCAAAGTCTCTTTGAATCAATGCCGAGGCGTGTAGCAGCGGTGATCTCCAACAATAGCGGCTACTCTGGCTACTGATTCTGTCAGGAAACACACTTCACAGAAGTCTATAAATTTAATCATTTGATACATGGTAAACATGTTATCTACAAAATAAATTTTTTTGTGCTCTCTCTTGTCTTTCTTGATGTTGCATTTACGGTGACCAGCAGTGTATATCCTAAGCAAAGCTTTAATTATTCCATATCAGGAAAATAACACGACTTAATTTTCTTCATTTTATACCTATAAACAAATGAAAGGAAGATAATCATTAGAAGTTTGGATTATATACATAATAAGAAAACCTATATAAGAATACATCGCACTTTTGCAACAAAAAAAAATTAATGACGCGCCATGCAGAAAAGGACCATAAATAATAATCACTGTAAAGCTCTTAAATAATAAAATTGATCAAAAATCCGCAGATGTAAGATCCACTATGCGCAACAACTGCACACTGAATGAATGTTAAAATCAATAATTTGTGAATCCTTCATCCACTCGCAGCAAGGTAGGATTCTATATGTCGATTAAAAAGGGTGATCTACTACATTCTGTGAGTCTGAATTTTTCGGTCTACCATGTCCCATATATTTTCAATTGATGAAAGATCTAGTCATTTTGTTGGTCAAGTAAGAAAATCAATACAAAGGTAACAATCCATTGGTATATGATCCATTCAAGCCCTGACCATTATCTCATTGAGAAATAGTCTCAGGATAAGATAATGGGTAGTCATCAATATATGATTGACTTGTTAAATTTATATTTAGGATTACTTACCACCCACTCCTCGCATCATGGAGGGGGCAAAACCTTACTGACGCCCTTTGTAAAATTTGGTTTAGGGCCTAAACCTTGACTTTGCAGGGGGCTTAATAGTCTCCATTACACCAATGGGATGACTTAAGGGTGACCTATTAACGAAAAAATAGCAACCCATACCATCGCATTAACGGTAATGGTTTTATGCCTCTGTAAAACAAAGGCTGATGGAGACCGCTAGTCCTGGCACCTCAACAGATGTATCAGATGATCCTCTTCACTACGAACGCATTGCGACACTAATTAATTTGAAGCTCTGGTGATTTTCTATAATGCTTCTCTAAAAGACTATCGATTTTGTAGGGTTAAAGACAGGCTTCTTGAGGACTTCTGTTAGAGTGGTTTTGCCGCACCTGAATACCTTGAGATGGTGGAAAGCGTCACAGATGATATGGAAGAAGATGTAGTCTATCGGATAGCGGACAATGATGTCATTGTATTAGTTCAAGCCCATCACACATTCAACCTTAATCTCGCATACATGCCCCTTCGCCTTCTTGAGCCTTCATATAACTGTATGGTGAATGTTTCTTGAAAAAAGGTTGCTTAGAGGAACGTAGGTCAGAAAAAACAAACGTCTCTCATAACGTGTCTTATTAGCACAATGGTTATTGCAACAGGACATTCTGCAACTAGAATTTACAGCAACTGTACTGTTTATGGACTAAGTAACCTTCACATGTGATGCCATAGTTAATATGTTCAGCAGTTATGTGTGGAGTACATTAAGTCCACATGTTACACAAGAGGCCATCATGAAAAGTTCGTGATGGGCGAGAAAATTCTGTGACAAATTTATTCGTCCTCATCTCTTACAAGACCGCTTCAATCGACAGAAGTACCTCCCCATCCTGCAGAAAGTTCAGCAAGATTTACTACTAGATTACTACGGAAAATAAAAGTAATGATTATAGGATTCCAGCAGGATAGAAAATGACGAAAATGCACGGATTATATCAAATGGATTATTATATAATTTCTCAAAGCCCATTTAAGAAAGATCTATAAAAAATGTTTACTTTTATCGTAAAATCAAACGTTTGCACAATAAAGAAAATGAAAAGTCACATTCTTTTACTTTTATACCAAGAATCTTTTTTCCCTGACTAAAAAAGTAAAGGTAACCAAGACCAAAGAAAGAACTCAAAATAATTTTGCATCAAAAGTTAATTTAAAACCTTGTTTTTAATATTAGACAATTAAAGACGCTTTCAATTGAGCGTTATAACAATCACTTTCTTGGGCAGTCGAATAAAAAACTGATAAAAGTAAAAATCATGAGTACTTTAATTTT